GGAACCCAAATTTCCTCAGGAATCGAATGGGATAGGTTTTAAGGCTCTATCTCTCATAGTTTCCGAGATAATCGCGAAAAACAAAATCGCAAAAAAATTAATTTAATTCATCTTGTATAGGGTGTAGGAAGTGGAATATGTATATAAAGTGCCTATAGGGAACCCTTACGTGCTCTATAGAACCCGATAGTGCGCTTTAAAAGATTGAACGGTGGATAGAATGATCCCAGTGTTGAGATAAGGGCTATAAAATACAGCTGTGGATTTTTTACTCTTACGCCTTAGCTGTAGGAAAATCTCAAGTCACGATTGCCCTCTGTAGAGTATATGTTCATTCAAGGCGAGATCCATATGGTACATGTTAAGAAATAAAATGAAGGAGAAAAATACTCGGGAGTCTCTACATGAAGAGAACAATTTTTTTGGAAAAATTATCCTATCGTGCTGTAAAAGGGTATCATGAGTCATCTTCGCTTCATTTTTATTCCAAAATTCATCAAAAATTAAGTGCTGAGCACGAAAATTTGATGTATGAAGAGCAAATTTCATTCTCCGTTTGATAAAATTTATAAAAATGATTAAATCTATTGAACCTGTTGAAATTTCTTAATTTATTCAAACAATATTTGTGTTGGAAATTAATTTATTCATGTATTTGATTCAATAAAAATGTAACAAATAGATGGAGTGAATAATGCATTCATTCTAAATGGACCTCCCACTGGAATAAAGGATTTTTAGACGTTAATAAATTAATTCTCTGCGTTTATTCATATAGCTGAGTTGAATAAAAACTCTGATGATAATTAAATACTGAGAAATAAAATTTGACATATGCAGGGCACATTTTATTCTCTGTCGGACAAATTTTGTAAAAATGATAAAAATTATTGGACTTTTTAAAATTTGTTCATTGATTCCATTATTATTTGTGCTGGAAATTAATTAATTCATACATTTGCTTCAAGAAAAATGTTTCGAATAGATTGAATGAATAATTGATCTATTCCGAATGAATCTCCCACTGAAATGAAAGATTTTGCATGTTAATAAATTGTTCTCTTCGCTGGCTAAACGGCGATTCCATTTCTGGCAAAAAAAGTTGATTTTAAAGTTGAATGAAAACTGTTTGGATTTGTCTATTTCCCCAGTGACATAATTTGTCGAAAAAAACAAGCGTCCTAATGTATTTAAAAATTAATTAAGAACAACTAAATATATGTCCCCATTATACCTAAACTATTTCACCTTTTCTTTATATTTTCCATGTCATTTTGCTACCCAATGTTGGTAAACATGCTTTTCAAAGATTTTTAACAAACTTCATCTTCAAAATATTCTCCAGCATAAAATCCGTGCAATCCACATTTTTTTTCTATTTTCCTCATCTTTTTACCCTGATGTAAAAAAATCCTTAAAATGATTTCCCCATGTTTTTTCCAGGGAATCGCAAGTTTCATCAGTCTAGCCGGGGAGTACAGCATATGCATAGCAGTGAGTGAAAAAATCTTGAGAAACTCTCGCAACGAGGACTTTGATCGTATAATTGAACGACTTAACTCCAAGCACAATGCAAGGGGCGTTGTGCTTTTTGTTGATGAGGATAATGTGAGGTAAATTTTATGGTGATTATACCGCCACTTCCACTGTATTAATGCATCATAACAAACTCATTTAGGAGTTTCTATTTTCCCCGAGGCACTTGCTTCACCACAAACTTTCGTTATTTATGTGTGGACACAAGTGCTAACGAGTCAACTTTTGCCGAAACAGTTTTTCACGATTATGTTTTTTTGTCCACTTTCTTTTGCCGGATTTTTGGAAGAGAATGGGGAGCAGCACAGGCGCATACCGTCTGCCTTTTTTTGTTCTTATCACTTTTTTGTTTCTTCTTCCCGCAGGAGTCAATTTTCTTAAGATTTACATGCCACGATTTTGTCTCTAGTCGTTCTTTCATCTGTCAACTGTATCCTTCACAGTTTGTTTGTGAACTGTGGTTGAATATCTCTCGGTGGAAATAATTGGAGTATTGTGCTGCTGAGACAATACGAGAACTCATCCCCATCCTCTTCAATCCCCTGTATCATCCACCTAGAAAGGTGGTTTCGGGATTGTAGGATAACGCAGATATTCAGTATTTTCATTATCGAGAGTGCTCTCGCGTCTGTTATCATTGAGCGTTATTCTGTGAAAATAAAGAATGGAGTGAATAATAGAAACAGTGAAATAATGAAATATCCGTGGTTTTGTATTTACTGATTCGAGGTAAGGGAATATTATCGAGGGGGAAGTTGTGTCGTACTGTGATATAAATCTTCCACTGGTGGTTGGTTTAACTCAAACGGGGGAAGGACTATTAATTCACTTTGATGATCATTTCTGACACTCGCGATGGGAAGGAATTAATCATTTGGTCCTCCGGCTTTATGGAGCACTCGGACGTTTATCGTGAGAGTTATGATGGAGCTATTGGTGAGAGGAAGTGAATACCATTCTTTGGGAATAATTCACGGGTAATTCGCTACAGGTGGTGGGGAATGTCCCATATACAGTGTGACACGAGATGTGTTTGATGCGAGGGGATAAATTCCGGAGGGTATTTTTAGGGGGAATTCTTCGACAGTTTTTCTATTTTTGGCATTGAGGATATCCAAATGCTTTAACCATTCTTTTTGTTGAAATGCTTTTCGATACATTTTTAAAGGTTAATTTTGTAAAAAAAATTACTGCGATATATATTTTTCATTAAATTATAAGGATGACAGTGTCAATTTGAGTTGAATTATTCAGGGAAAATGAGGAAACAATCGGGCTAATGTCAGGTCTAATTAAAAATTCAAAGAAGTCGTGCAATTTCGAACTTATTTTTACTCTAAACTACTTAAATTCAATGGAAATTCAACAATTCTTTTTAACATGAATTGAATTCAATGTCACTCTTCTGAAAATTATAATAACGGTGAACATTTTTATTTGACCTATTGAATTTCCATCCAAGTCTTTTGCAATAATTCTCAATTAGTCTCAACAAGATTCTGTTAGAACTATCAGAAAACATGAGGAAACCTGGAGGAACAAATAAAATGCAAACCTTCTTGGCGGATTGATAACACCATTAAAAAATTAAAATTTTCAAAGATGACATTTTTTCACGAATATTTTATAAATCATCCATTTTCTGCCCGAGAATTCATTTGTTCGTAATTATAATAAAATTTATCAATTTGCAGAATTTCACCAGGAATTGATTTCATGTAAAAAAAAAGGTTAAGAAAGTTTAAACAGTTTTTATTATTCATTCAGTAGAAAGAAATGTGGAAGACCGAATAATAACACTGATTCAAGTTTTGTTACGCTATTTACTTGAGGAATTTGGTGATGGAACTGTATCATTTGTTGACTATTGAGAAATATTTATTTGGTCATGTTCAACTCTAACATTCGTTAATGGTTAACAAACCTTGTCAACAATAAATGAATCACACTCTAAGTGTAAGAAATAGCAGAAGGTACTTGGTACCATTAAATTTGAATTCTTTTGAGTGTTCTCTTTTTCAACGTGCAAAAATTTCACGCTTAGAGAATAATCCAACAGTACTCTCCTCTGCTGATCAAACATCATACGTACGATATGACGAAAATTGTATTAAATTGAGGAAAATTAATTCCTGGAGGAGATGTCCCCGTAAAAGTCGCCCATACCTCTCATCCTTTTGGTTTCATCAGGAACAGTTTTACTGCCAACTGGAAATTGAATATTCTCTCACAGAATAAATCAGTTTGCGTTGAATTCATAATTTTCAGGGAAATTTCCGAGCCATCTGGATGTGAAAATGAAATGCAAATCCAATTTTTTTAGAGTTCTCATGTAAACTACAAAGCAGACTCCATAAATAATGAAAACCTGCATGCGGAGCATGAGAAGAACTGAAAATGCAAAATCGTGGAAGTGATTTTGAAATAATAGAATTCCCCTTCCGTGTTATTGGTGAATATAAATGGAAAAATCTCACGTGATCCGAGGTCCGAGTGGGGCAGTCCCCGCTGTAGAATTGGCATTTGAATAGTCACCCTTTTAGACCATTTTTATGGAATAAAATCGTGTCGTCGCGATATCCAAATACTTTGGCTGTTCTATTCGTTGAAATACTTCTTAACATTTGTACACAGAGAAAAAATAGTTTCAATTTTCGGGAACATGTGACTGTTTATTAAGAATCTAGTCGATTTAAGGAGGGAGAAGTCCTCAATTTACGCAAAACTTTCATTTTATTAACAATCTATAAAAATATTCATCCAAACTTTCCGGATTTCTATCAATTTTCATGAAATAATTCAACTGAAATTGACAGTTTCCATGAATTTCTTCAATTTTCATTCTCCATTTTTTCTCGAGTGAAATGCTTTTCTACTTTTATAGTCGAACATCAGAGCTTTAATTTTAGCCTCATTTGAACCTAAGTTTCCGAACATTTAACAATGATTTTGTTATTGAAAAAATGCTTTACAGATCTGAATTTGAATCTCGATATTGAATCGGTAGAAAATTTTAAAAATCTGAAAAAAAATTAGAAAGTTTATTTTGGGAGAAAGATTGATGAAATAATTTAAAAAGTGCAATTTTTGAGTTGTAATTTGTTGTGACGGTGAATACTCATGATTTTTTTTCAAATTTTTCTCACGCAATTTAATTGACAAATTTGATAATTGATAATGGTTGAATCTATAGTGTGGTCCGTATCAAACTGTAAAAGATACTTGGATATCCTTAATAATAGTGTATTTCCTTGATGCTACGATTACAATTTTACATCTAGAATATCCTTAATAAATATTTGCAAAAAGCGTATTGACAATTTCGGTGAAAATTTTTCAATTATGTTACTGTATCCTAATAATAGATTCCGGAAAATCAGTGGAATGTCCTTAATAATTGGGGATGGATCCCTGAGAATCCCTGACATGTCCCTCAGAATCAAAACCCATTTATCCGTGCAAATTCGCAAAAACACTTCAAGCTAATCCCAGAGAAATATGTTAAAATCTCAATATTCGAAATAAATATTTCTTCGTCTGCATTTCCGCAGCGACACCTCAAACCTGGACATGCAGGGGAACGCACGTGAGGATTAGTTGTCCGAGGCATTTCGTTGAAAACCCAGGTCATATGAGCGATGTACCACGGATGTTGTTTAGTAGAGTACGTGTGGAAGAATTTCTTCTGCACGTTTTGTCCTTACAAGACAAGTGGTTATATCCGACCATCTCTGCTCTCATCCCAAGGGCGTTTTCGGGCTTGGCTACACATGACGTTTTTCCAACTATCGTACACTCGGGGTTATTTATCACGGCAAAACACGCCGTAGTGTGGGTTTTTTTTTACACATCATGTACCTTTGTTTTACTGTTGTCGAGGGGGTAGAAGAGGATTATTCTCTCCGTGTTCCTCCCAATGAGAACAATTTCCATTTACGGGTAATGATGGGTTTTTTCCCCGACATCTCTCGTGTTTTTATCTCTTTGGAAGATTAATTGTTCATCATATGTCCACATGACGCATTGAGCTATTCTGCCCTTGCAATTTTTGACTCATATTACTCGGCGCAATTTGTCATCATTCTCGAGGCAAACAACATATTTGTGGAATACATGGGGAATAATCGTTCACGCAGAATGTAATTTAATCTGTAGTATCAATCACTCCGGTGGCTGAGCTTTAACGTTAAAACTAGGGGTATTTACGGCGTAAAAACTTACTCCTGCACACTGTGAAGAGTTTTTGAAAGAAATTTCCGATCCACTTCTTGGAAATTTTCGTCAAGTCACGGTTTCACTGAAATTTCAGAGTTGGGTCATTGAAAATTTATAATTCGCTGAAGAAAAATCATGGCAACTGTAAATTCCAGTTCAATTATTCCATAAAAATTAATAGAAATGAGGGAAATTTAGGTAAATATATTCTTGATTATTTCATTATGTCGATACTTAATTTATCATTATTTCGGTAATTAATTCGGTACTGAATACTTTCATTGAAAATTCAAGTCAGTTGAGAAATTTTCGTCTTCGTGCTGCACAAAAAGTTGAAATTTCGTTGAATTTCCAGTGTAATCAGAAATTTATTGATTCTCTCCTCCCTACATCGAATTTAATGTCACTCTCCTGATAATGACTAGTGATCCGTCCATGAAATTGGAAATTCAAGACTATATTTACCTGAATTTTCCTGATTTCCATTAATTTTCATGGAATAATTAATCTAAACTTCCCCATTGTTTTTTATTCATTCAATCGGACATTTCCAGTGACGAAATTCCTTGAAATTTCAGTAGAATTGTCACTTACCAAAAATATTCGAAATCAACAATTCAAGGAAAATTTGAAAACAATTGTACTGTACGTAGCGAGGTAATTTCCGAAGTAATTTTCACTGTGCGAAACGTAGATTGTCCCCCACACAAAGCCTACTGTGCCGAATTAAATTTCACTTCATGATTCGATTTAAAACACCAAAATTCGCCGCATTTTTCCAGATAATTATTCCCTCATTTACCTCCGCGTTACATAGAGCCATTTTCCGAGTACTCGTAACAAGTAGTTCCACGAATCTCGACAGTCATTACATTCACTTTGTTCCTGGCATCGCGTGTGCACAATTTTCACCCCTCGATTTCATATCGTCCAGCCCTCGTTAATAGTTTTAACATGAGCAGACAGAGGAAAAAGAGCTCCAGTTAATGGAGACTCCAAATTCTTTTTTCTCTTTTCGTTATTCCACAGTCGACTGACCCTTTTTCATACTTTTGCTGAGAGAACGATGATAATGTATGCTGCGCCGAGTTGAGACGAGTGGCTACGTACTCAATGACACTCACATTCATTGACCCCTTTCTCCTTTCAACCCTGAAACGTTGACCTTTGCTATTCTACAAACGTTTGTTGTACACACAGGGCTCCGTACAAATTTGCATCGTTATCGTGCCTGCAGACCATTTGCCACGGGCGAACGTTAAAGCGAGGTTTAAATGAAGCGGATGAGATTGAGGCTAGGGAAGATTTGAGTGCTCCGGGTAGATAGGGATGCTATTAGACAATAGAGGAATCCTCTGATTCATCAGAGTGAAGGACCGATTCAACTGAATAATTCATCATTTTTAATCTGGTAAAATTATTCGCTGAACTTTCGGGATTTTTCACACTCTGAAATGTGCAATCTCACCAATATTTTCCGAAGGGGAAATCATTTTTTGATGGTTTTTTTTACGATCGAGGCCAGCGAGTAATGGATTCAGAGAGAAGTAACAATTCTAACATGACGCCCGGAAGAGGATCGTTTTTTCAATAAAACGTTAAATTTTTTTATGGCTTCATAAATTTCATGGCCGTCATGGAATATGACTGTAAATGCCTCCCCCGTCCCCATTCGGGCTTTAAATTTCCCCCGGAGCTCGTCACTTTACACACGGCCGTATGAAATCGTATATTTCGATACAAGTGCGACGGGGTGGTAACGAATGTGAAGATGGCGGCCCGAGGCGAAGCCGAGTTACGCACTTACGTTCAGCGAGTGCCGAACTGTGCCATTTTTCGTTTACTAGTAAACGAAAAGACTTTTCGTTTGCTAGTAAACGAAAACCGAGTGACGAACCCTATTTTGCATCACAATGTGTGGAAAGTCACTTTACGCATAAGTGATGAAAAATATTCTTCGTCACTCGGTTGAAGTATATCATTTTTTCCCTGTACACTGGTCAAAAATTGTTGGTGGAAATTTCTGGTACATTTTTTGGAAATTTTGATAACATTCTAATTCCACTGAAATTTCAAGGATTTTCGTAATTAAAAAGTCGGAATTTTATGGAAAAATCAATGAGAACCGTAAATTTCAGTTCAATTATTCCCGGAAAATTCATAGAAATCAGAAAAATCGGTAAGTATATTCTTTAATTTTCAATTTATTGAAAACTCTGCGTAATTTGATACTGACTATCCATGTTTCCATGGGGAATTCGCAAAAATCTAGAAATTCTCGTCTCATCTCGAAATTTTCGATAGAATCTGACGTTTAATGATCTTTTTTCCCCTAAACTGCAGTCCATGTCACCCTCCTGAAAATTACTAGTCGACTGTCCATGAAATTTCCACGTTTTCAAACTAATTTCAATTTTTTCAAACACATTCTTCGCAAACCGAAGGAAATTCCATTTAATAAAATTGATCCCAACCTGTTGATGATCTTACTCCCCAGAAAGCTGTTGCAAGCAACTATCAGAGCCAACATGACTGGTCACTTTATGTGGGTCGGCAGCGATTCGTGGGGTGCTAAAGTCCATCCAGTGCGAGACCAAGAGTTTGCTGCCGAAAGTGCAATAACAATCCTGCCCTTCCGTAATCGACTCGATGGTAAGTGTGTCACAAAAAAAATCCAGACAATTGGAAAGTATTTCCAGCACACCTGTCAAAGCAACATTCACCGATGAATGTAGTTCCACAATCCCTTTGACGGATGCACTTCATTCTCACAAATTGAAATCCCCCTTTTTCATCGAGAACGTTAATGAATAACACCGACTCTTTAATTATTTTCAAGTGTACTCGTTTTTCCAAGAGTCCGTGTTTCCCTTTTCTCCTGTGTCCATGCTATTCGTTCCATTTCCCCCCATCCCCATCTCAATCATTCTCTTTTTACGATAACTCCCAGTAGGAGTGCTCCGTTTTTCAATTTTCCTTTGCACGAGCAACGATTTCAAAGTGAGATAAAAAGTCATCCCTTCAGTCCCTCACAACAGATGCGCAACGATGCGATTTTCAATGTGTATACGAGAGTAGCATTTGATCACGAAATACCGACAGTATTGGCTTATGGAATTGAAAATGATTCGAAATGAATGGAAAGAGAGAAAGAGAGAGAGGTATACTCGGGGGAAAAAAATTGTGACCTGGAGGCACCCCGGAGGATGTTTCATGCGTGAACGATCGATATCTTTTAAAATTCATGTGTCTTGGGCAATGGGAATTGCAGTTTGGAAAAACTTTCGGGGAAGTGTAGTTCAGAATCAATGTTTTCTGGTGGCATGTCGTATGAATGGACCCCTTTTCATAAATAATTCTCGGCCCTTCGATTCAGAACGATCCAACTATTACTATTCATGGGGCAGTTGCCTTTTTCAGATCTTCAACGATGAAATTCAAATTCAAAAGTCGAATGGAACTTTGATGATTTATTTGAATTACACTGTTTAAAATTGTCGTCTGAATTTTGCGTTCCAATTTCCGGAATTTTTATCGTGTTCAAGTTCCACTGAAATTTCAGGAAATCTTGACATTGAAAAATCAAATATTCCATTGATTTTCTGTTCAAGTGATCAGTAAATTAGAAAATCAATAAAATACTTGATTTTTTTTAGGCAATTACTATGTGAAAATTCATGTCATTTTGTTTCTGAATATTCATGTTCCACTGAAAATTCAATCACGTTGTGAAATTTCCATCTCACGCCCACCGAATACTCATGAATTTCCGTGAATTCTACAAAAACTTGAAATTGCATAAGCATTTTTTCCCCAAATCTAATTCAATGTCACTCTCATGAAATTTACTATAATATCTTCCATGAGATTTCAAAAAATTTCGAAGTGTTCGATTCGAAAATAGAGTGGCTGGGGGAATGCCACTGATTCTCTCCGATCATTACTGTTCATATTCCTGTGTTTCACATTTCCATGGGTGAACTTCAAGTGCAAAACTCGAATGAAACTGATGATTTATTTGGATTGCAAATTCATTATTTTGAAAAAAATTCATCGAGTTAGCGGTTTATGTGGAAAAATAAAATGCAATTTAATTTATATTTCATAGCTAATAAAAAATGCAAGTGCCTCCAAGGAAAAAAAATTATGACCTAGAGGCGTCTCAGAGGGTATTTCATTCGTGAACGATCGATATCTTTTATAATTCATGTGTCTTAGGTAATGGAAATTGTAGTTTGGAGAAACTTTCGGGGAAGTGTAGTTTAGAATCAATACTTTCTGGTTACATATCTTGTAAAGGACCCCCCGTAGATAAATCATTTTCTACCCTTCGATTCGAAAATAGAGAAGCTGGTGGAACGCCACTGACTCCCTCCGACCATTACCGCCCATATGGCATTCCTGTGTTTTACATTTTCATGGGCGAAATCCAAATTTAAAACTTGAATGAAACTTCGATGATTTATTTGAATTAGAATTTATTTATTCCGAACAGTCTCCATCAAACGCAATTTAATCCATATTTCATATCGAGCTTCCAACTGGGGAAAAAATGATATTCCCGGCAGGCATCCCAGAGGATATTTCATGCGCGAGCTATCGATATTTTTTATAATTCATGTGTCTTGGACAATGGACGTATAGTTCAAAATCAATGTTTTTTGGTGACATGTCTTATAAATGGATCTCCATAAATAAATAATTCTCTTCCCTTCGATTCAGAAATAACTGGTGGAATGTCACCAATTCGCTCCGACTATTACTAAAACTTTGATGATTTATTCGGATTACAAATTATCAATTTCTAACAGTGTTCATCGAGTTTGTGGTTTGGCTGGAAACGTCGAACTCAATTTAATTCATATTTAATATCTAAAATACAAGTGCCTCCAGCCAAAAATCAATCTAAGGACAAAAATTGTATGACCTGGGGCCAAACCCAGAGGATATTTCATGTGGGAGCGATCAATATTTTTTATAATTCGTGGGTCTTGGGCAATAGAAATTGTAGTTTGGAAAAATTTACGGAATAGTGTAGTTTAGAACAGGGATAGTCATATTCATAAATCGTAATGACCGTTAAATTTTGAAGCCGTCATTTAATAATATCTCTTAAATTTTTAATTATTCAAGCAATCATTAATTTAAATATTCAAATTTTGATCTATTCTATTAATTAATAATTTAAGTAGAGAGATCGCCGATTATTCAGTTAATCGATAATTCCTTTTAAGAAATTAGAATTATTTACTTAATGAAAAATTTACAGAAATCATACAGAATTCATTTATTTAATATTTTCCATATTATCAAATATTTAATTCACCATTAATCAGAAATTTACATTATCAATATTATACCATTTTTACATTTTGATGAGTATATTTAAACCTCTATTAACGTAAGTCGCAAGTTAAAAATCTTTTAATATTGACGAAATTTAATACTGACGGCCATCCCTGGTTCAGAATCAATATTTTTCGGCGGCATGTCTCATAAATGGACCCCCATACATAATTTTCTCCCCTTCATTACTGTCCGTATGACACTCCCGTGTTTTACATTTTCATGCATGAAATTCAAATGCAAAACTCGAATGAAATTTTGATAATTTATTTGAATTTCAAATTATTTATTCCGAACAGTCTCCATCAAGTTTGCGGTTTGGCTTTGGCTGGAAATATGAAACACAGTTTAATTCATATTTCATGTCTAATGCAGGATGCAAGTGGTTCCAACCGAATGGTAAATGACTTTCAAACAACTTTGGAACAATCAACAAAATTAATCTCACCGTATCCCTGTACCACTCTCTTTCACTTCCTTCCCACACATCTCTTATCGTGATATGACTTTGAGCCAGTGAAATGGAATTACGTGAGGACTGAGAAGATTGAAAGCGTAACGAGGTTAAAGCGAGTGCAGAGCGGATAAATTCCTACGGCCTTTTGGATATATAGTATTCAACATCGTTCCAATTCATCGGATATATTTGAAATAGTAACGCAGCTGTTGCTACCCCAGCGCTCTTTCTCTTTGATTGGGTTTTCAAAACGCACAGTAAAACACCGAAAACACATTCAACGTATTGATTCTTTAGTTATTAGATTGGTTGTTTTTTTACGCTGCAATTTGACGAATTTTTCTTTCCCCAGTTTTCACTTTATTCCCGTTCATACGTGGGAAAATGTATTGTACGTGCGCGAATGAGATCAGTCGATTGATTTGGTGTCTGTTTTGCAATATCGAAACACTGAAGGGGAATGCTGTTTGTATTTTTCCGGGGAGTAATTCCACGGTTTGGTCAGATTAATTGGATGAATCTTTCATCTATTGATTTAGCTATTTGGAATGCCATGGGGACATCAATGCCTGCTCATTGCGATAGATTTTTCCGCAGCCTGAAATATATTTGTGGGTGGGAACGAATTGATTGAATGAGGAATAAAGTTATTAGTCGATGAAGAATTATATTCAGATTCTGCCGATAATTTATTTTAATTGTGACGTCGTTAAGTCTGGGGATGCAACTGGTTAATCATTGGGATCATCAAGGTGGAGCTCTGCTTTGGATAAATAATTCAACGTTCTTAGTTCGGTAAATTAATTTACGACACTGTTAGAAAATTACTCTTGAAGTTTCAAGTGAAAAAGCTTGAAATTTTTAACAAAGTTACATGAAATTTCTGTATATTTCTTCATTGACGAATCCGTAAATTTCTTGAATATTAAAATAATTCTCGATTTTCTACTTTTCTTCATTCTCAATCTGTTGAACATTGAATTGTATGTGATATGCATATTTCACAATGAGTTTGGAAATTCAAGCGTTCATTGAAAAATCAATGATTGTTTAACATGAAAAATCAAATTTTCTTGAACTTTCAAGATGGATGAGAAATTTCGTGAACGCTTTCATTGGAGGAACATGCTCCAATAGAAATGGTTTGGTTTTTTTGCATTCTTCATTTTGAAAACAAATTGTTTTGTGTAATAATCGCAAAAAACTAGCGTTTCACCCTTCTATTACCCTCAAGTACGTTTCGGAGGCGCTGCTGATTGGGATGGAATTTTCCCCAGCGTGACATATCATCTTTATGGATGGGGGCGAATTGTTCGAATGAGGAATAAATTATGATACGAATTATATTCAGATTCTGCTGATAATTTATTCTAGTAGTGACGCAGTAACGTCTAGGGATGCAATTAGATAATCCGTGGGATCATCGAGGTGAAGCTTTGGATGAATAATTCAACATTCTTAGTCCGCTAAATTAATTCACCAGTTTTCGTGCCCTTGCGCGTAGAAGAATGGGTTCAATTCAAATAAAACATTTACCTGGGCTGTGGGAGTATGCAATCCGACCAACGGTATAGAGCAGGAAATCATTTTTAGATGAAATGTTCTATGAATTTATGAAATCCGTCGATTGATTTTGTATTTGTTTTTCAATATAGAAACGGAGATATGGAGATACTGTTTGCATTTTCCGGTGAACAATTTCATATTTTGATCAGATTAAATGATGAATCTGTCATGTATTGATTTAGCTATTTGGAATTGGTCGTGCGAATATCAATGCCTGTTGATTGAGATGGAATTTTCCCCAGCGTGAAATATTTTGTCTATCGGCGGGGACAAACGACTGAATGGGTAATAAAATATGATACCAATTATACTCAGATCCTGTTGATAATTTATTCTAGTAGAAACGTAGTACAGTTTAGAGAAGCAATTAGATAATCCTTGGGATCATGAAGGTGAAGCCCTGTTTTGGATGAATAATTCAACATTCTTAATTGTGTAAATTAATTCGACAGTTTTCGCACCCTTTGGAATATGTAATCTAGAATTATTTTTAGCTGCAAGTTTTACAAGTTTACAATAAAAAAAAGTTTTATGGGTGAATGAAATCAGTCCAATGATTTAATATTTGTTTTTCAATGTGGAAGCAGGAGAAACTGTTTGCATTCTTCCGGTGAATAATTTCATATTTTTATCAGGTTAAAGGATGAATCTTTCATCTCTTGATTTAGTTATTTGGAACTGGTCATGGGGATATCAATGCCCGTTGATTGGCATGGCATTTTCTCAAGCGTGAAATATCTTCTTTGTGGATGGGGACGCATGATTGAATGAGAAATAAAGTATGATGCGAATTATATTGAGATAAAGATGACAATTTATTCCACTCCCAGGAAAATGACGCATTTGCATCAAATAAAATTCTCTATGCATTCCAATAATATTTTCTTGTGGAATTGACAAACTCACACATTATTTCACTGAAAATGAAATGTTTTACTAATATAAAATAAATTAATGAATGCGAAAATCACAGCACCATGGCTAATTATAAATTAATTATTTAATAATATAAAATAGCAGCAGTTCTGTGCATCGGTTTGCAAAAAATTTAACTCAAAATTGAATAGAAAGTTTATTCAACTAATGAACAATTTATTCGCGCGGAGACAAATCATTTTCCATCCAGATCCACTTGATTTTTCATTTCATTCGTGACGTAATGAAGTCTGGAAATGCTGCCAGACAATAGTCAAATCTTCAGGCCGAAGCGCTATTCCAGTTGAATAATTTATCATTCCAGCTCGGTAAATTGATTTTGGGGAATTTTCGCACCCCCTGAGATGTCCAATCTAACCAACATTCTCCGGAGGGGATTCATTTGTGGTGGGATTTTTCGTAAGTGAGTGAAATCCGCCGGTTGATTTGATATTCGTTATTCAATAGAGACACATGAAAGCTGTCTATATCCTTCCGGGGTGTACTCTCACGTTTTTGTCAGGCTTATTGGATGAACCCGTCATTCATCGATTCAGCAATTAGAAATTAATTATGGGTGGTATCAATGCCGCTTGATTGAGATAAAATTTCCCCAGCGAAAAATTCCTTCTTCATGCGGACGGGGACAAATGACTGAATCAGAGATGAATTATAGCACGAATTGTATTGATGAATACGTAATTGCTTTTAGTTAGAAGGTAATAAAGTCTGGACGATCATGAATTTTTAATTATAAATGCATATCAACGGATATTGATTTTTAATGCATGCATTGTGTGCATTCGAGATTGTGCGGATTAATCCCTGATATTCCGAATAATTAATGTTTTTATTGGCCACCAATAAACGGTTAATCGATGTGGAATGACTCCGGTGGAACGTTTCGGAGTGCAAAAGCTTGTTTGATTTTTTGTCGAGCTAAATGGACATAATCTCGCTTTTACTGCTTTCAGATTTCGATGTCTATTACAAAAATCTCAGGCCACGAGTGGGGGATGAGTGCGGTGGTCAGACTGAGAGGAACGTGCCGCATCCGAAATTACCCGAGAAAATGGTCAATTGTCGTAATGTTTGGTTTAGGGAATTCTGGTCGCAGCATCACAAGTGTATATTCGGGGGATCGGCGGCACAAACTGGGATGAAGGGATGCACTGGGGATGAAGTGATGAACGAGTACGATCAGGAGGGGCTTGTGCCATTTGTAGGTGAGGTATTGGAAAATAATATTCTAGTAATATTCGGGGGGCAGTTGTTGTGTGGAGGACTACGGGATTCTGTATTCTGTGATTTACTATTTTCTTCGCCATTTGAATAATGATAGCATTTTCAAGTGATAAAATTCGCATTGCGATTGAGGAAACAATTCTTTTTCTTCGAAAAACCATTCATTAGGTGTGAATAAAAATGGATTCGAATTAACATTCATTCGTTTCAAATGATGTTTATTTAACTTAAATAAATCAACTTTTTTTCTTTTTCAAACGATTTTTTTTTGTGGGTGCAGTTCAGCAATAAATATTCTCGATTCAAGGAAATCCGATTGGATATTTTTTAATCATTTAAATAAATAAATAAATTTAATCACGATCATTTTATCCTCACACTTTTGAATTGAGAATTTAGCATTATTAATGCAAGAACGTGGCACACGGTGAGCAGAAATTCAAATATGCGCTAAGGGGAGATCGACCGTTATGAATTAACTATAATTTATAACACAATTATTTAAATTTCGGCGGGAATTTTAATAGACATTCCGCTAAGTGCATTTTGTAGATGAGCCCCTACAGAAACACGAGAATAATTCATCAATCAATTCTGAAAATAATCAAGTAATTAGTGGTTCCATTTGGGGAGCTCACCCTCCCCAGAATCCTCACATTCATTAACTTACTTAATCGATTCAAATGAAGTGGATTTAATGCAAATAAATGATTTTTTTTTCTCAAATGAATTTTCTCTGGAAAAAAAATCTGATTAAAAATTTTAATCAAGGGCGTTTCATCCTCATACTCTTGAATTAAGAATTTTCGCATTATAAATGCAAGAAAGTGGCACATGGTGAGCAGAAATTCAAATATGCGCTAAGGGGAGATCGACCGTTATGAATTAACTATAATTTATAACACAATCATTTAAATTTCGGGGTGAATTTGAATAGACATTCCGCTAAGCGCATTTTGCAGATGAGCCTTTGCAGAATCACGAAAAAAAATCATCAATCAATTCTGAAAATGGTAAAGTAATTAGTGCCTCTATTCGAGGGACTCATCTGCCCCGGAATCCCCGCATTCTGCATTATTAATGCCAGAATGTGGTATATGACAAGCAGAGGTCAAAATACGCACTAGAGGAAGAACGACCATTATGAATTAACTATAACTCATAACACGAAGCCTAGAATTTCGCAGTAAATTTTAATGTAAATTCTATTTCATGCGCTTTCTGTAAATAATCACCAACAAAATTACGAAAAAAAAACATGAAAATCAATTCTAAAGATCATTAAGTAATTAGTGGCACTCAAGATGATTTTATCCTCACACTTTTGAATTAAGAATTTTGTATTATTTGTTATTATAAGTTATCAGAATTTCGGGGTGAATTTTAATCGCAATTTCTTTTCATGCGCATTTTATAGATAAGCTCCTACAAAATCACGAAAAAAAAATCATCAATCAATTACAAAAATAATTGAGTAATCAGTTGTTCCACTTAGGAAGCTCATCTTCTCCAGAATCCCCACATTATTGAACGCATTATTGAACCCATTTATTTGGCGCAAATGAAGTTTGTTCAATTCAAGTTAAATTCCTCTGGCCACAATTCACCAATAATTAGCCTCGTTTCAAGAAATCCCGATTGAATATTTTCCAATTAAGATCAATCCCCAAACCATTGAATTAAGAATTTCCGTATTATTAATGCAAGAAAGTGACATATGTCGAGTAGAAATTCAAATATGCGTTAAGGGAAGATCAATCATTATGAATTAACTAAAATTCATAACACAATTATTTAAATTTCGGGGTGAATTTTAATAGAAATTCCTCTCTAGAATCACGAAAAAAAAATCAATCAATAAGAAGAAAAAAAAGTAATCAGCGCCTCCACTGGGGGAGCTCATCTCCCCCTACCCTAGCCTACAGACTTGGTTTGAAATTTTCTCTGCGCATTTACATCCCAGCTATTCATTTATTTTTATCTCAGCTACAACCGTGTTACTCTAACCAGAGAGCGAATTGCAGTCATATGTCTGAGTCTCGCTCTTTCTCCGGTGGATTTCGATCATGAAAATCCCTTGTTAGGGGAATTGCCACTGCGACACTTTACGTACGCCAACTATGGGTCACACTGTGTTACGATGATAAAGGACAAATGGCACACGTGTTCTCTACACCACCCCAGAGACCTCCAACTTTAGTACACGTTTTTTCACAATTGGATAAGTTTTTCTTTCCGTGTAATGCGCAGTTTCATGCTTTTCGTCCTTTTTTTCCATTTCCCCGTAGTTTCTCTCACTCGTGGAAATTTATAAATGATCCGCCCTCAGGAGCCGTGTGGTATCTGTCATTTTCCTTAGAAATTGTCGCGAACCCCTGGTTTTTCGGGTCTCACGGTAGCAGACGAACTCTGTGATCTACGCGTCCGCTTTCATCTTTTGTAGAACAATGTGCATTGTTCACTTTCAATCAAATTTCTTTTACCCCAGAGTCCAAAGGAAAGAGCGATCATTTGGAACTCAATGATTTCGGGCTTTCTCCGAAATCGAGTCATCACTCTTCTTTATTTTTACACGGAGAAAAAATTGGAGAAAAATGACCAAAATGTCTTGTAATCGTGGAGCGGAATCCATTTCTAGGTCTTTTTTATCCGATATCGGGGCAAAAAGTGCGAGATGAATGGTGAATTTTTCTACGTGTACTCGGGAAAATTTACTGAACGTGGAATTTATGCCAAAACTGTAAAATTAACCATTGATTCCACCAAAAACTATTCCATGAACGTAAATAGTTGCTCAATATTGCGTAATTGCATTATGCACTATTAAAATTTTTTATATTTTAGTTCAACTGAAATTTCAAGGAAATTGTGTCATTGAAAACTCAGAATTTCATGGAACAATCAATGCGAACTTTGAATATCAGTTGAATTATCCCCTGAAAATTAATAGAAATCAATAAAATTGAGGTGAGTATATTCTTGAATTTCCAATTAATTAAAATTCAAATATTACTTCAAATATTAATGTTTTTATTGAAAAGTCAAATATATTAAGGAATAAAAATGCTCAAAATTTTTGAGTTTCATTGAATTTTCAGTGAAATCTGAAATTTCATGTTTTTTTCCCCTAAATCACATTCAGTGTCACTCTCCTGAAAATCACCAGTCGATTGTCCGTAAAAATTTCACTTTCGACTTCGGCCAAAATCGAATGTTTTAGCCGGGTGAACGTTGATTCCAACTATTTAAGCGACGGGCTATTCAGAACTCTCAAAAGCATGTAGAACCAATAGGCATTTCTGGTAATATTTCCGGGGATTTTTATGAAAATTTCATGGAAAAACGGGGAAAATTCACGTGCTACTCAATAAAATTTACAGTGTCGACACTGGAATTTTTCCCTGGCCGTCGCTTTGCCCTCTTTTTCCCGTGCTAGTACTAGAATTTTTCTAGAAAATTTCTCCGCAAAAAGCATTTTTTATTGAATTCCAATTTCGCTCCACAATTGTCTTTCGCATAGTTAAATTTGCCGTGATTTCCTAAATAATTTCTACCCAACTTTTCTCCCCGTGTATAAGTGAAATAATGAAATAAGGAGTGCGAGGGGAGGAGTTGGTATGCTCTCAAAGTCGTTTCCCCTTCTCTGGTGTGCTATCGTAACGTCACCCTCGGGTATTTTCTTATCAAAATTTCATATCCACTTTTACGAGGCAGGGAATTACACAGGAGCACACGGAGGATGAAACTTTTGCATGATTTATAGCTGGTGGGTGGAATTAATACATTTTTCAGGGGATAAAAAACTGATTAAATAGACTCTTTAAGTTTCACACGCTCGGGGACAAATAAACGTGAATTGATTTGTTGATATTTGAATTGTTCAGGCTATAATTTTTTACTCTCGGAACCGTTTATCGAGTTTTTGGCACTCTCAGAGCGCAGTGGAAATCAATTGAAAAATTAGGTCGAATTGCGTCGTAAATATTTTTTATGATCCGTGAATCCTATCGATTCTCATGTTATTCATGTCCTCCACTCGTGCGAAATAAAAAACTGATGGATTGGAGAACAGTGCAAATACGTTGAGAACATAAAAATTATATTTCACAAGTTCAGCGGAATTTTCATTCCATTCTCGAGTGGTGAAATAGAATGAATTGGAGTGGACTGTTCATAAATATCACTGTTGAAAATTTTGGCCTGGATTTTTCAGTACTTCTTGGAAATTTCGAATCACATTACAATTTCACTGACAATGTCAAGGAATTTTGGCATTGAAAATTCAAAATTTTATGAAAAAATTAATAAAAATTGTCAATTTGAGTTCAATTATCCCATGATAATTGAAGTCCGAAAAATTCAGGTTAATTTATTACTGAATTTTCAATTAAAGACAAATTCTGCGTAATTTTGTACTAAACTCATATTTTTATTGAAAAGTGTAGTATACAAGCTGCTGTTGAAAATTTGTGTAATTTCAATGAATTTTCCGAAAAATCAGAAGATTCATTATTTTTCCCCCCTATATTGAATTTTTAAAAAATGCGAGCCGTCAGGCTAATTCGTCCTGAAATTATTTACATTATTGAAAAACATTTCGCTCGACTGCCTATAATTTTCCCAACATTTGTCTCCATGTAATACCATTCTCGATTTTTAAAATGTCTTTCACTCAATCAAAATAAAGAATCAATTTTGCGATTCAACATTTCAATGAAAAGAGCATTTTAAATTGTTGAGAGGAGCATAAACAGAAGCTCCGATGAACCTAAAAGTATAGAAACTGATTTCACCGCCCAAAAATGGTCCCCAAATGGAACTGACCGCTTTCCCAATCCCTCTGTTCATCATATTTTCAAAATATGAACAAAGAGAATAGAACATGAATGTAATCAGCCCAACTCAGCCATCGCCCTCCTTTCTCTCGCAATTCACGTCAGAATTTCCCTTTGATAAGAAAAACACATTTCCATATCCTTTAAAAAAAAACGAGCCAGGACCCGTCCCCATCTCTCCTTTATCGTGCTCCACATTAATATATCATTGTTAATGTCTCCAGTGGATGCAGTTTATGCAATGGCACACGCTGTGCACAATTACATTGATGCTGAGTGTGTCAAAGTACAAGGGACAATGCACCACCTGTGCGATAAACTGGCACCAGCCCCGCCCGGTCAACATCTTCTCCAGTATATACGTAACGTATCATTCGTCGGTTAGTATTCAAAGCAACAGCTCTCTACACATTTGAAATCAAATCAGTGAAACGACAATGTGCACTCTTGTACTGTGTGCTGTGAGTTTGGTGAATGTTGTTAAAGAGACGAGAGGGCAATGCGAACGGAAGCGTGAATATTCGACGCTGGCATCCCTCGAGCGAAGTGCTGAAGTACACAGACTCTATTTTCATTAACAAGTCATGCCTAAATTACTTGAGTGAAAATTTCTGAGCCATGGTACTTCTCAGATGAACATTCGAATTTTCGTATCGCTCCGCGTGCGAAAACTCCACTTCCCACACATTGTCATCAAAAATAGGGTTCGATACTCGCGGGAAAAGTGTTTTTAGACTCGTGGGATTATATCACTCGCCTTCGGCTCGTGCTATAAACCTCCCACGAGCCAACAAACACTTTCCCGCAATCGTATCGAAATATACTATTTTTCGGAATAAAAATGATTTTTAGGCATCAAATTCGAACTAAAAATGCGATGAAAATTGCAAACAAAATAATAAGACAAGTTTAGATTACTTGAAAGTCAAAATTTCTGAACCACGGAATTTCCCAGATGAACATTCGAATTTTCGTATTGAAATACGAAACTTTGTAACGCATTTCCCGTGAGGTATAAAAATGCTTTGTCTCTCTTCTCTTTCTGAATGTTGATTATTTTTTTGCCTTTTCACTTTTGCTTTTACCGACCCGTCTTATCGTTTCGTGTATAATTGAAAAATTCAAAGGGAACAGAAGACTAAATTTTTTTCCCAGAATAAAACTGATTTATTAGGTAGGAAATTCAAGCTAAAAATACAATGAAAATTGCGGACTGAATGAGAAACTTTATTTTGCTTAGGTAATAAGGCAAGTTTAGATTACTTGAGAGTGATAATTACTGAGTCACGGAATTTCCCAGCTGAACATTCGAATTTTCGTATTGAAATACGAAACTTTGTAACGCGTTTTCCGTGAGATATAGCAATGCTTTGTCTTTCCTCCCTTTTTGAATGTTCATTTTTTTTTTTGCCCTTTCACGCTTTGTTTTTTGTCTCGTCTTATCATTTCATGCATGAATGAAATATTCAATGGGAACAGAAAACTAATTTTTTTTCCAAAATAAAAATGATATTTTAGGCATGAAATTCAAGCTAAAAATACGACGAGAATTGGAGACACAATGAGAAACTTTATTTTGCTTAATAAGGCAAGTCTAAATTATTTGAGGGTGAAAATTGCTGGGCCATAGAATTTCTTCAGTAAACATTTCGATTTTCATATTGAAACGGAGAAAAAATAGTGGCTTGTAAAATTCAATGAGTGGAAAATTCTAAAATTAAGTGTATTTTGTTAACAATTTCGAGTGACATAATCCAGTGTTGCATGAATCTTGGGAATTTTGTTCCTAGATTTCAATGATTCAATGATTTATCCCGAAAAATTAAAACTCTTTCTTCTCCGAAATACGAAACTCTTGGAATATTCATCATATTTTTTTGGCCTTCCACTTCCGCTTTCTTTGTCTCGTCTTATCATTTCATGCATGGTTGGAGTATTCAAAGAGAACAGAAAACTAATAAAAGTCAGGTCACGTGGTTGTCATTTGTAACAATATTCCCACGAAAATCATGAAAATGTTTCGTTCCAGAATAAAAATTATATTTTAGGAATGAAGTTCAGCTTAAACAGAAATCAGGGATAGGTTCCTGAAAAATAGGAATATATCTCTAAAAACTAGAATTTTTGTTCTCTCTGTAACACAAATTTTCCTAATGTCTTTTATGCGAAATGGATTGCTGTTCTGTCTCTTTTCTCTCTTTGAATGTTCTTCACATATTTTTAAGCCTTTCACTTCCGCTTTCCTTGTCTCGACTCATCATTTCATGCACGATTAAAATATTCAAAGGGAACATAAAACTAATAAAACTCAGATGACACGGTTGCCATTCGTAACAATGTTGCAACGGAAATCGAAAAAAGTTTTTATACCGTAATAAAAATAATATTTTAGTAGTGATGAAATTCAAGTGAGAATTGCGATGGCAATAAGAGATAAAATGAAAAACTTTGTTTAATAAGTTAAGTCTGAATTAGTGGAGAGTGAAAATTTCTGAGCGAGGGAATTTCTCAAATGAACATTTAAATTTTCATAATGAAACGCGACAAAAAAAAGGATTCCAAAATTTCTAGTAATATAATCTTAAAAATCGCAGGAAAATCCTTAACCTTAGTAACTTCATCCCTAGATATCAGCGATTGTACCAAGAATCCCAAAAACAAGGGATAGATTTCGGAAAATTAGGGATATATCCCTAAAAACTAAAACTTTTGTTCTCTCTGTAACACAAAACTTCCTAATGTCTTTTATGCGAAATGGACCACTGTTCTGTCACTCTTCTCTCTTTGAATGTTCTTCGCATATTTTTAGGCCTTTCACTTCCGCTTTCCTTGTCTCGTCTCATCATTTCATGCGTGATAAAGATATGCAAAGGGAGCATAAAACTAATAAAACTCAGATGCCACAGTTGCCATTCGTAACAATGTTGCAACGGAAATCGAAAAAAGTTTTTATACCTGAATAAAAATAATATTTTAGTGATGAAATTCAAGCGAAAAATGCGATGGAAATTAGAGATAGAATGAAAAACTTTTGATAACCCTGGCCAGCTTGCAAAGGTCACTTCTTTAAAATGTCAGGCACGAGTCTCTATTTTAATTGTCGCGGGATGATTTTAATCCTAAATAGAGTGATGAAAATAACGAAGAGGGAAGTTGAAACGGCATTTGTGTTGATGTACCTGTCTGCACTGCCTGAGGGCTGATAAATAATTGTTGAGCTGAGGGAAAATTCGCTAAGTAAGTATGAAGATTAAGTAACGAGCCGTCTTTCCGCAGGTCGTCAGGAGACGGAAATAAGATTCAACGCTGATGGCGATGCCTATGGGTACTACAACATTTATCAGTATCAGAAGAATGAGGAGGGGCGATTCGATTATACGCGCATCGGATCGTGGAAAGAGATGTACGTTGATTAATAATAATGAAGAATCATAAATTTGAAGAAGTTTAAGGAAAAAACGGAACTTTTATTAAATGGAGAAGTGGTCAAAATTGAAAGAGCAAAATGAAGCAAATCAATTGATAATTTAATTTATTTCAAGTGGAGGAGGGTGGGGGAAAATGGGAAACCTCAAAATTTATGAATTAATTTCAGTGTGGGCTTCTTACAAAGGGGAAAACATTATCGTATTCTATTAATAATTCAATGAAACATCAACTTTCAAAAGAAGTTCAAGTTGTTCATTTTGCCCGACTCCCGCCTATTGAGTTATCTCCATAATGAAAAGTTTCAGGGGAAAATGTTGGAGAAGCTTGCTTTGTGAAAATGAACAAAAAATTCGAGTTTTATTCGTTACACTTCATCTCTTCGCTGTTTAATTATGGCTGATTAATAATTAATTTAATTTTGATGAAGATCTAACATCTACACTATTCGTGCACTTCGTGTAATTCAGTAATCGACTGATAAAATCCAACGGAACAGAACGAATGGATTTTTTTATATTCATCCATCTCCATAAAAGCTAAACTATTGGAGAATATTCCTTTGCGAGAGTTTCTCTCCGGAATTAATGGGAAATTGATAGTGATGCTGAATTTAATTCATTACGCTTCATCGTTTCACTATTGAATGAATTTAGAACTGGACTAATCAGTATAATTAACCAAAATATTCAATTTCATTCATTGCGCTTTATCATTCCGATACTGAATATTTGCACAGAATATCTGCTGGTTCATGAATACAGAGGAATAACGGATTTCGGGAATTGAGAACAAAAGTTTAATTCAGTGGTGAACGGGTGGAACGTAACAGCATGAGTGAGTTTAGAGAAAAAAGTCGGAAAACATTTATCGTTGAAAGCGTCACGGGCCACAAAAAATGTCGGTGTGTGTTTTTTGGAACTTTCAGGGACAGCAAAAAAATTCTGTTTTCTCTTGAAATGTTTTGTTTAAAATGAATAGAATATCAACAATAATTAAATTCACCTCTTTAAAATATTCATCATGAAGTGTAAGTTCCGTTTTATCAATTCACGATGAACGTTTTATTACCCTCGAGAGACTGGACTGCAACATTATATTTTTCTCTGCAGTTCATTCAAGGAGTGATAAAGCCCAACAGAACAGAATGAAAAGATTTTTTTTAATGTCCCTCCATCTCAATAAAACACGTATCAAGAAGAGATATTGAAGAATATCCGTTTGCGAGAGTTCATCTCCTGGAATTACTGCGAAATTGACAGTAGTACTAAATTTAATTCGTCCTTCCACTATTAAATTAATTCAGAACTTTGAACTAATCATTTAGAATTGACCGAAATATGGAATTCAATTCATTCCGCTATACCATTTCACTACTGAATTAGTCTCAATTTCGAATTAATTATTAATTTAATGCAAATAAAGTTGGAATATCTGCATGTCAGTTGATAAATAATAGAAAGCAACAACGAATATCGAGAATTAAATAACAAAAGTTTAATTCAATGATGAACGGGTGGAACGCGACACGAGTGGTTTTAGACAAAAAAATCCGAAAAAAATTATCGTTGACAGCGTCACGGGCCACAAAAAATGTCAGTATCCGTTTTTTCGAACTTCTAGTGACAACAGAAAAATTCCCTCAATTTTCCCGGAAATCATTTGTTTCTAAAATGAATAAAATATAAAAAAATTCAGTAGTGAAGTGGTAAACAGAGATAAGTCGACTTATCTCTCAGTTGAGTTTTTGAGGAATATTTCCGAATCTAAGAAAGATAGCAAAATTTTCGTAATTACATTTATTGTAGCACTCAATCGGCTCCACAAAAAAGGTTATAAAAGAAATTTTGCCATCTCCCTTAGATTCCGAGATATTGATTGAAAACTGGTCAATATTCAAAATTGACTTATCTCCTTTTACCACTTCGCTACTGAATTGAATTTAAATTGAATTGTATTTTAACTCCTTAAAATATTCATCATAGAGTGTAAATTCCAATTTACCCCTCCATGATAAACATTTTCGCTGCCCTCGAGAGGCTGCACTAATTCAACATTACATTTTTCTCATTTAGACTTACTCTGGATATTAACATGACAAGGTGGACCGGAGGTGCGGGTGAAGCTAATATACCCCGGAGTACCTGCAGCGACAATTGTCCACTGGGTCACGTTCGTAATTTCCAGGTAATCCAACTGTTTCACAGGACACAACGAACAAAAAAAGTACAGAGAGAAAAAACTAACAAATTATGCGAAACAAAAAAAGCCTCACAGAGCGAGCATTCCATTTTAATTGCACTATATGATATTGGGGTGGTAAAGCGCTCGGGGGAATCAAAACAGGAGAATAATTCTGTTGTGGCGGTCGGTATATCCATTTACTCGATGACGTCTATGCCTCCACCTGGGAGCGCAGATATCAGTTATGCGAGCCCAGCGATGGGAAAATCTCTCTTTTCTTCTCTTGTCACAACTTGTTTTTCCATCAATCTATAACAGCTAACGTCACCGATACAGCGGTGTTAAAAATTGTTTCCACTCCCTTGATACCTCGATCCCTGACATTTGTTGGTGATGAGTGAAAAGGATGAGGATATTTGATCCTATTTCTGAATTTATGATGAAACCATTCTACATTTTTCGTCAGAAATGTACAAATGAAAAATGTTCTTCATTCGCGGGAGGGTTTATCTCGTGACAACACAATGACAAATGTAGAAAGTCGTTTACTATAGGAATTTCACAACACATATAATGAAATTAGTGTATGAGTCTCCAATGTTGGAATGAATCTATCACGATTTGTTTTTCTCAGGGCAGGTTTTTAATTTTTTTGTACCAGTGGGCGATAAATGTGGTGTAAAATTGCAAGCTTTTCTAGAGGTGCATTCAACGATGTGCGAACGTGTCAGAAGGGAATTTATTTTGTGTACAGAGAGAAATCCTTTGGAAAAATGCTAGTGCTGGTACTAGAAAAAATGTACTGGATGTGAACAGTTCTAGTGCAGCTAAGGTAATATTTCGAGGGATTTCTGATAAAATTTCCGGAGATTTTTGTGGAAATTTTGTACAAAAACGGGGAAAATTCACGGGCTGCTCAAGAAGTTTTTCAGTTTCAGCTCTAAAATTTTTTGTGAGAATATCTCTCCGTTTAGGTGTTGGGTTGAACAATGACGGTTGAGCTTGCTGATTGGGTCTACGCGAAAAGGAATATGTTGAACGTTTAGAAAAATGTGTTTTCAGGCAGTTTTCAATCTGGAAGCGAGTCAAATATGTAGTGCAATAGATTTCCTCTCTTTCCGAAAAAATTATCGCAGTGTAAGCGAAATTTCCGCTAAAATAGAAAAATTTCATGGAAATAATGCAAAAAAAGGTAGATGTCACGGTATTTTGTAAAATCGCAAGACTAATTGTTTTTTTAATAACCTACACGTGAAGGTGAAAGTTTACCTGATGCCCTTTAAAATTCACGAGAATCAAGAGCAATTTCCGTGTAATTAAATTTGTATTATTTTATTACTTCTACCATTCATTTTGTGAACTTTGTAAAATTAATTGGGTTTGATTGGTATATTGAAAGGTCAGGCATCATGTCGGTATAAAACTTGAGTTTTAATTTCAGTTTTTTTAATGATGCCCCTCACACTCTCCACTTTCGTTGAATTTTCAATAAATGCAGAAAAAAGTTCGGATTTTCAGGAACATGCCACTGATTTTCAATGAATCATCAACTTTCAAAATAAAATTGATAAAAATCACTGATGATTACGGTAATTCTCGTTAAAAATCAGCGACGTGTTCCGAAAAATCAAAACTATTTTTTCTCTGTGAAAAGAAACCTCAATAAAAATCAATCGTAAGCGATATTAATCGATATTGTCAACAATGAAATAGTTTTTCCTCTGGGTGAAAACCAGAACAAATAGCATCGGATATTTACTTAGCACCACATTTCCCTGGAGATTATCCACTGTTATCCAATTGAAAGTTTCACCAGTTTCTCACCATTGTCATTCGAAATACCACTGCCATTTTGATTCCCCGGGGTTTCCCCAGTGAGTTTCGCCAAATTTGTCCGCCCTTCCATCAATATTTGCCGTTGATTCCATGAGCTTTGACAGTTTACATACCCGTAAAGATATAACAAAACAGTCATAATGAGAATTAACAGATCTCCGAAACTTTCCAGAACAACCTGGATTAATACTTCGTGTTTCCATTTCCCGAAATGAACAGTTGTAAAGTGAATTTACAGGCCAAGTATCCGGCAGATATTTCTCGTGTTGAAGTGGATTCAACGTTCATTTATTTCATCAGAGATAACTCGTACTGTCGCTATGATTTCTCTTGAGACAGACGAACCTACAGCGATGGGGCAGTTATTTTGTTTCTGTTGTGTGCGCTGGGGAACTTCCAATGACTTTTCAATAGCTCTGAAGCCCCACTCGATCTCTACATTTTATTGTTACCTTTTGTTTCAACTTCTTCTTCCCCTCGATCTCTTTTTATTTTTTTTATAAGTACGGAAGAGAAATAAAACGCAGTTGTACGGAGCACTTACAATCGATGACCGCCACCCCCTTCCATTTGACGCCCAATGTTCAGCCAATTGAACCATTCCATCGACCAAGAAACCAACCACACGTTCGGTTTATTTCGGGGTCTCCTCTACTGAACCTCTACTGAACCTTTTCACCGCAATTTGAAAACTACACTGTTAACAAACGTCATCTCTTCTCTATACAATTATTGTGAATGATAATTAATTTAATTTAAATAAAGTTCTAACATCTACATTATTTGTGAAGCGAACTCCATTTTCAGTATTTTTTCACCCTATTTCGTGGAAAAAATGGAAGACGAATAGTGAATTTTTTTCCGCTAGCCCAGAAAAATTTACTGAACGTGAGGGTAATTTGTGCTTAAAAAAAATTATATTGCGTATAATTTGATTTAAATAAAGCTATCTATCTTTTTTTGTAAACCTGCAACTAAATTTCCAGCTGTCAACCAATGCTTATGTACAACTTTGTAAATACCTGGCTGAAGACCCTCGGGCGATAGCCAGTTGCAAGTTTTCGAACTTGCAGCGAACTATGTTGAAAATAAAATTAATATAAATAATGCTCTAAATCTAAACTATTCATGCTCTTCGTGTAACTTAGAACACTGTGATAAACCTAGCAGAACGCAACGATTAGAAAATATTCATGGATTTTTGAACAAAATGCAGCTCTACCGAATGCTCCAAATCAATGCTCTTCCTGTTTTCCACCCGACGTCTAGCCAATTTCACCATTCGATTAAACCTTTTTACCACAAATTTTAAAGTACGCTGTTAAAAATTTTGGCCTGAAATTTCAGGAGAAAACGATGACGAATTTTGTTTCGTGCAAATGAACGAAAACTTCGAGTTTTATTTGTCACCTTTTATCTTTTCGCTATTAAATTATTGCGAATAATCCATAATTTGATTTTAAAAAATCTATCTATCTTTTTTGTGAACCTGCAACTACATTTCCGATCTGTTAACCAATGCTTACATACAACTCTGTAAATACCCGGCTGAAGGTCCTCAAATGAAAATAAATAAAGCTTCAACATCTGCACTATTCGTGCTCTTCGTGTAACTTAGTAATATTGTGATAAAACCTGACAGAGAACAACAAATAGACTTCTTGAAAATATCCACTCATTTTGAAACAAAATGCAGCTGTAGCGAACACTCCAAATCGATGCCGCCCCCCCCCCCCCCCCCCCCCCCC